ACCGTGTGTTTGCATAAATGTATTTAAACAGGCATCGCAGCTTACTTATCAGTTGTAATGGATGTAGAAGAGCAGGGTTGTGACCAGGTATCTCGTTAAGCAATAGGAACGCAATTGATTTGCAAACCGATTAAGAAATGAATGCCTTGGTACATAAAGCATAACAGTCAGTAAATAGGCAGAGCGCAACCAGTGCACATTTTAGGAATGGGGCTTGTGCTCAAGTGATCACCATGCCGCAACGGAATTCAGCAAATGATTATTATGCGGTGGCGGAGAACCACCCAGAGCTGGTCGGAGAGCCCACCTAGAGCTGGTCGGAGAGCCCACCTAGAGCTGGTCGGAGAACCCACCCAGAACTGGTTGGAGAACCCACCCAGAGCTGGTCGGAGAGCCCACCCATAATTGGTTGGAGAACCCACCCAGAGCTGGTCGGAGAGCCCGCCCACAGCTGTTCGACAGTCTGGGGCGAAGAGCCTGTCCCCAGATGGTCAGCGGCATGACAGGGGCGGGGGAGGGGAGACACATTCAGAGCTAACCACCACTGTGACACGAGCACCCTGTCCAGAACTGGCGTGAGGTTTGGGGCGGTGATCCTGTGCACTGTATAAAGCCGGCCACCAGTTTGCGACAGGGAGACTGGGCAGAGCTGGCAAACGCTATGAAACGAGAGCGTGTTCACAGCTGGCCACCAGCCTGGAACTGACGGATCCTGCCCTGGTCGTCCAGAGCTGGCCATCAGCCTGGGACGGGGAACCTGTCCAGAGCTGGCCCCCGCCCAGCTCGCGCCGGAATAGACTCTCGTAGCCGCTGGCAGTACAGCTCGAGCAGCGCGGAGCGCCGCCGGTCGACACCCACGAGCTGTGCTTCCAAATCTGTAGCAGTTTCTAAGGTTGCCAGATTGGCCGCAACTGCTGCAGTGATACCTGCGTTATGGGAGCGCCCACCTGAAATGGTTCAGACACCATCAACTTTCTACACTGTCTGTGAAAATGAACTTGAATAAATATGACGAATAGAACTCAGTCGAGCGCAGTGACTTCCGGGCCGCCATAACACACGAAGCACATTGGCATTCATATTACGCGCTGTACTGCTTTCGGAGTTGTTTTTCGCCAGACAAATAGTGTTCACCAGGCCAGACATACCCTTCACCTGACCTGAGCTTGATCATAGACCTGTGTTAGCGCCATGACATGGTTCTGAAGCCCAAGAGCACGCACTCGTTTGTTTGGTGCCATTCAGAAACGGTACAATCAGTATAACGAGTCTTGAAGGACTTTGAAGTCGGCTGAAAATGTGTGCAATTTCTTGACTTATTTTAGTTAGGTGGTGGTGACCCTGGTTGTGCATAGGTATTATTACTTTTGGTGTAATAAACATATACATATTGTTACATTTGGTAAATAAATGAATAGGTATTGTACAAAGACATGCAATTACAGGGTGTTCCAACTTCCTTTTTACATTTCTATCATCAGAAAAACGCTATGTTCATGTGAGGCATAACACTGCCCAGGAGGTCCACTTTTTGTCCAGGAGGCCGCTAGAAAATCCTCCCCTCAACTCAAAATCCGTGAACTCATCTCTGAAGACCCATCGACGTTGTTGACACAACATGACATATATATTCACCTTAAAGGTTGTGCTGGAAGTTGGTGTAATATCCAAACCCTAAAGATTCCGGGGTCCCAGCACGAGTGAAGTGGTGCCAAACATTTTGTCGAGAATAAACACCCATGGTCTCGTCACTACATAATACGGTAATAATACGCTAATAGGTAGGTAAATAGGATGAAAGGTACACAGGCGATAGGCGACTGGAGGCCCCACGCAACATCACCCTGGGAAGTGCCAGACCCGCGACCTGGTGCGCAGTAAAATGTGACCGTGACCTGGTGCGCACCGTGACCAGGTGCGCAGTAAAATTGTCCCCAGAGGAGAGAGAAATACCACATTTAGTCACAAATCCCATGAATCTAAATCAATTTCTGCAAAATCGCTCAGTATAAGTGCAAATCTATTCAATCAGGAGCAGGGGTTGGGTCCTTGCCCATCCCTGTGGCTACGTCCCGGGCCCTGACATATATCCCAACATCTTCTTATTTAACTTCGAACCCTCGGTAAAGTAAATGATACCTCAAAGACACAAGACTGAGCCTGTTTTGCTGCTTTTTTTTCTCTTTGATCGGATTCACGGGATTGCAGATATATGCGGAAATACCTTCTTTCATTCCGGCAACGGCCCGCTCGGTTTGCCGGCCGAGGGAGACAGCGGGGGGGGGGGGGGGGACCAGCCGCCTCCTGCTGCGTCTTACCTGGCACCCGGGAGCCCAGCCGAGTCTAGGTCACCGGTCCCGCACTGTCAGCACTGGCTTGTCCTTGGGGCGATTTATGTCAGGACCTTCCTGCGAATGGCACACTGGTCTACTTGGGGCCAGACTGCTGGAATGAGATTTTACTCGCTCCGAGAAGTGATGGGCATTTGCGCGTAGCCTTCGTATATATGCAGAACGCATGCAATGACACAGTCTAACTGCTGTGTGTTAGCTGACCAGCTGCACTCAGAACGTTGAGCTATGTCGAAAACAGAGCATTTCGATTGCTGGTGTATTAACAAACGTGCCCAATTGAAGGTCGCTGAGCTCAGGCACTTCTTGCAATGCATTCTTACTGAACGACCGGCCGAATAGCCGTACTTGGTTATTGAAATGAGGTATTCGCAGAACTTCTCCGATAGGGCTTAGGCCTTGCTTCGTAAGTAATTCGGTCCTTGATAAGCTGATCATTATGTCATCTGTATCCTGGTTTGTTTTGTGCATTCGGTCTGTTCCATTTATAAATACGGGGCTGACCGATCTGCTAGGCATTCTGTTCTCACCTATCGGGACTGAACATATCACACGCCTCTATGTAGAGCTTCTTACCAAGAAGTCCTCATTGACGCTGTCAATCGCAGTGATCCTCTCACATTCCAGGAGTCGAGCGCGTCTCCGCGTGGTCCGACCGTGACGACACCTGACGTGGCGCCGCCGCCGCCGCCGGCCCGAGACGTGAGGTGGCTGGGAGGGGGGGGGGGGGAGGGGCAGTTTCGCGCCACTCGTTCCCGCCGCAGACTCGGCGCCTCGCTGCGGCGCCGAGTGGGGCGCGCCAAAAATACCGGCCGCCGCCCACTGCAGCTGCGGCCGCGCGCCACCCGACCCGGCGCCCCCGCCGGCGCTGCTGGCGGCCGGGCCCGGTCAGCAGCGCGGCCACAACTTCTGGGGAGTCATGGGAGCGGCCGGCTGGCTCGGATCTCCCTGTACGGACCGTCACTGGTAGCATATCACCTGGCTAGATACTGCTGTCGGGATAGAGACAGTCCCGTGGTGGGTAGGTTGAGCAACAGGGGTGGGTGGGTAGGTGGTGTGCTCTTGTCACCAGCCGAAAACGCCTCTCTGGGGCAGGGTCAAGTCTCTCTGGCTTGCCTTCCGATGGCAAACGTGGAATACCTGGTACACGCGTGGGGTAGGTCTGTGCTGAAAGCCAGAAAGCCATGCACCTGAGGAGCTTCGAACAGGCGCGCAACCCTCTAATTGTGAAGGATTGTCGCACGAGAGCGATCACAATTATGATCGAGGTAGGATCTTATTTACGATTTGCAGACAAAACATACTGGATCGGCAGGATGGCAAGCAGAAGAAGCATTTGAATCACGCTATGATTATCACGGATTTTCCTAGTAATTGAAAATCCGCTCTTGAACAATGCTGAATGTTGGGGACAAACGTTTGCAATCCAGCGAATGCTCAGCATCCGATTGATTATCGCCTGGTGGGAATTATGAGAACTATAGTTTTGTTCAATTACTCTATAGATGGCACTAAAAAGCGAGGAAATCGTAAGGCACATCATGTCCTGACCTACTACAGAGCATATGTTTAGTCCCAAATATATTCCCGACTGCAGGGGAGAGAAGTGAGCTGTTTACCACGGCGGACCAAGCAAAGCTGGCGGTTCATCGTCGCGGATCACCGTGGGCGCTGAGTGCCCCCAGACATGTCCCGAGTGCTGCTGTTCACTCCAGACCAGTCGATAGGCTGAGTAATTAGTGTATGTCACATCTGTCAAATTATCCTCTGCAGTCAGGAGGTTGGGGGTACGTTGTCGCCGAGTCCACGTCCTGCATCACCATCCAGTTGATGGGCCTCCTCAAGAGGCTGGGGAGGCCAGTAGTGGCAGTAATCGACCGCATGATCGAGGTATCCCACCTTTTCGGGGATGCTGCCAGCCGGTGAAAGCGCGCGCTGCAACTGAGCGGGATTCGGCGTGCATCACACTCGGAAGCCCCGTCCCAGCTCAGCCAGCGGATCTTAAAACCCAGCTGGGCCCCAACTGGGAGCTTGTAAACGCGTCACGGTCGATGTCGATCTCGTGGCGTGAGAACAGCGACTGTTCGTGTCGCCGAGTCTGCATGCAGCCAGGGGCCACATGACGACCACCACTGACAGAGGCTACCGTGCAGTGACCACAGGTGGACGGGTGCGCAAGGTTCGTGACGCAGGCGGCGCATCAGTCGGCACAGGAGACTATATCCGGCGGCAGCCCCGATACGGGCGAGTTCGCCCAGGACCTCACGAGCTGGGCAGCGCGCCTCGCATGGACGATCATTCAGCCGCGCTGGTGGTCTTCAACGGCCGGCGTGTCCTGTTATTGACCCCTCCCCCTGCACCCACTGGACACGCACCCGCCGAACCGCAGCGCGCGCCTGGTCGCCTCAGGTGCGCCGCCCGAAGGCGCTCGACTGCGGATCCGAACCCGATACACTGCGCTGATGACAGCAGTGATGATGCGCTGCATTGATGACGGGAGCGAAGTACTGTCTACTCGACACAGGCGCCGCGATGGGCTGGCGCTTGCCGCCGATGCCTACATGGTGCTGATGATTCGTATGCCAGGAGATCGGTAGGCCAAATGTCTATAGATTGTCAGTTTATAGCAGTTATACAACACGTTTTTTACACAGTTTTCATGTTTCATGCACAGAATGGGCTACCACAGCCCATCACAGACAGCAGTGGCTAACTTTTTTAATAAGACTCGTTCGCGCTATCCCTTGATGTTAATGACATGGCGTTTTTTACGCACAGAGCAGCACATCGTGCCGCAAATAGGTGAACAGATAGCAAATCCAGTCACCTAAAATGCAGGCAATCACTGTTCACTAGGTACACCAGCAATTGTTACCATCAAATGAGCTTCGGAGGAGACAGATAGTCCAACGGTGCCAGCCGCTGATCTGTTCACCGCCTCGTTGTGTGTGACAACGCCGTCTCCCTGGTAGCGGCTGGTGACACCATCACACACTGTTCCTTGGGGATCATCCGTCGCTGTCCAGGTAAGAAGGCTCTTGTCGGCGCTCGTCTCGGCGACGTTTGCACTGATATAAAGATAAGGCGAACACGAACATCGCCAGCAGGTACCCCATCAGTATCAGCGACTAGAAAGCAGAAAGGTTATGTGAATTGTTGCATCTCATTATCGTCTTTCATGTTTCACTGCTGCTTGGACAGCGGTCTCTGTCTCGACCATTTCGACTTCACAACTCCTTTCGTATGCTGCCAGCCACTTCATTTATCCCTAGAAAGATGATAAGCTCTTTTTCCATGCGAGGTGCTGTGGTTCAAAAACTCAAAATCACCATGTGACGTAAGACCACCGACAGAAGCTGTTTGAATAGTTTAGCGTGCATTTATTTTCCCTTTGTGGTCATACGTTCAAAGTGAAAAAGAGTGTGTAATATTTCAAACGATATAAAATGAATGCAAATTTAAGATCCCTAACATGTTGTCAAACTAAGTACGCTATTGTCAGACGTCTCACTTCCTAAAACCAGTGAGGGGGGAAGACTTAGCCGATAAGATTGACTAAACTACTTCCAAAACTTGATTTTACCTGGATTTTGGCCACTTCAGGTTGCGTTTACGATGCTAATTTGCGTTACAAGTTATTCCACAGATTTAAAGATGGTTTTGCTCAGCAGACATGTCTTATTTTTTCAAAGCGATGTGAAACTAAATTTTTGCAAAAAGTTAGAGTAGGGCGCAACTCAAAGAACAAATATCTTGGTGATATGAGCCCTTGTGATCAACGTAAATAGACGTCATTCAGCGTTCATCGACGGTGGCTCGACGTAAAAAAAAGAATGGTTTTATATAGGATGGCGTCGCCGGGCACATATGGGCGGGAGCCTATGGAAAATTGTCGAATACACTACCACTATGACCTGCATATTACAAAAAAGCTAAACTTGCTCGACCTTCTCAACAGACATGGTGATAAGTGGAAGGACAACGTAGAAAAAGACAAATGACCGAATGGGTGTGCAGAATGGCTGCATCAAAAACCTGACAAGTGTTTTGACACGTGTTGGAAGTTGCTGGACGTAAAAGTTCTAAATCGTGGTGTCGTGGTTCTAAATCGTGTTTCGGAGTCAAAAACTGGGAGCTCTCATGGTGAGAATGATCGACTTTCGGTGTACCATGAGATAGTGGTTAAACATCGCCATCAAAAACACTCTATGGCTTCTCAGAGAGTAACACTTCACGCGCATCACAAATGAGGAGACCGGCATGTACAGCTTCTGATTCCCAGTCACATGAACGTAGACGTGCTAAATAGCCCTTGCTTTCCATAAGAATGGATGCACAGAGCACTGAGTGAGTTCTTCCGATTGTGACAAGTTCCCGGTTAAAAAATACATCGGGCTGCAGAGGTCCAAGAAAGATGAAATAAACAGACGGTGTCGATGTGGAGCTAACGATTATGCAAAGTGGCTCAACTTACAGTTAACCACGGTTTACCCGACAGTGATAAGCGTATTTTTAACATAATCAAGACTGCGTTGATATCTAAATGACCATTCAGTCGCCAACCGCGGTCAAAAATAATGCTAGTCGTCCGTGATCTCACATGCGTCAAATCATTACCGTGCAGAAGACGCCGCTTTGAGTCCGAGAACTGCTGTCTTGTCAATACCAGCCCAGAGCGCTATGTCGCTACCGCTATGTCGCTACCGCCGCTACCGCTACCGCGAGTTCACGGGGTTGACCGGGATGAGCGGTGGCCCCAGCAGAACGGAACCACACCGCATACGGTATCAGCGTGTTTGTTCTTCGATGTTTGCAATACACTAATGTGTCAAAATGTTTGTGAAATAAATGTTACGAAAGCTTGACGCAAGATTTGGACAAGAAGGTATGCAAACGTAAATATATTATCCCGAAATAAACGAAATGTTGCACTATGCCTTCGATTTCTCCTCTACGACGCTTACCTCAGTGGCTCTTTTCGAGGCGTACTTTGACTTTTGAAATGGGAGCACCATGCGATCCATGTGATCGCACTAGCCCAAACTTCAACATACCGACTTCTCCATAAGAGGCCATTGCCCGCTGGGCCAATCACAAACGTTATTTTGTTTGCACCAGTAGAGGCGCGCACGGCCACTGCCATGATGACAGTGGTCGCGACTACAGGAAAGAAGTGTAGTAGCACTGCAAAGTGCGGTTACAGGGCGTCGACAGCATAATTTGGACTAGAAAATAATTGAAATTAATATCCTTATTATGTCTTGACGATGCTGCCGTGGCGCTACCCAGTGCTATTACAGTACGCAACTTGTCCTGAGCTTCACTAGAGTATGTTTTTATATATGCCCCAAACGTGACACACTCTTTAAGACTGCCGTGCTGCGGCATCTCACTCACCCGCCCTCAAGAACCACGTCCGCATGGACAAGTCAGCGAACCTCGAACAGCTCCATACCACCTCCATATTGAAGACATGACGCATCGCCACAGGCAGTCGACCGGATAATCAGGCAGCAGACTCAGCTGTTGCGCACGGCGAACCGCCAGGTGACCATCGAGAGCACCATTCTCTGCCACGATTTGGCGGGTGTGGAATCGCTCATGACCATAGACAGACGGATAGCGACAGCGATGCACTGCTGTCGCTGATCGTGTCTTGCTACTCAAGTGGCAGTCGGATGCCACCACAAACACGATTGTGCGACAACGGCAGCTGTCACTGTTGAAGGAAACATTGGCAAGCTTTTAAATGGGCCACCATGTGCTCGTAAAAGCTGCCGCATATGGCCGTTAATGTTTTTCTTTCTCTATCCAGGTGTTCTGAAGCGAAATATTCGTTACTCATTTGTAGGCTAACCCAAGGCTGACCTAGTGTACGAGGGAGTTGGCATCGCAAGAACTTAGGCAGCTGCTGGAGAATATTTGGCACAAAATGAACGTGGTACTTATAGTGATGTGTGTAGGTACACAGCGTTCCAATAGTTGATAGAAGTCTTCCACATTTCCTTGGCCCAGTATTCTTGAACGCAACCTCCCTCCAAAGGGATATAAAATAATATAAAGTTGCAACTCTTTCCTCTGGTGATTGACAAACAATTTCGTCTATCTAATTGGTTCAGACAAGGCCTATCCTATCTCGTGTGCATTCGTGAAGTAGATTACGAGCTTGCTTACGGGAATCGGCCTCCTGCATGAAATAAACATAAATTCAATGCATGAAAATGGGGCTAACATATCACACCACAACATTGGCATACTTACTTCATTCAAGTAAGTCTCTTTCTGAAGATCTATCGCTCTCTCGTTTGGAGTTTTGCTTTGTTTCTCGTGCGTACTCATACTGAGCGGTATTGCAAGTTCGTTGTCTTCCAATCATGTGGTCCACGTTCTTCCTTATGACGGCTGCACCTGCAATGCGGCATTATTTCTTCGAAGGAAGTTGCATGATGCTCTTCATATTCATGTATCGTATTGGCCGACTTCGGTCTGAAAACGCACTGCCCATCAGCTGAGTGATAACATGCCGTGCAGACTTGTTCCGGCTGCCCACCCTCATTCCGCCCTCTGGAAGCGTGTACATTGTACAAATATGAGAGGAAAATAAGTTAATAACTAGGTTTCAATGGTTCTATCCCCAGGAGTACACTCCAACACAAAAATCATCTCAGGGCGCTCATATTGTCGGTCAGCATTGAAACATATGATTCACTGACATTTAAAGCTCGAAGTATCGATGACACCGCGGTGCAATTAACCAATATAGCTGAGCTAGTGCACCAGAGTGCTCCCATGCCTGATGCCTGACAGATGTAACCGCAGCTACCACCTCCGCAGATACCTATCAGCATGCGTCGAGGCAAAGAACATAGATCCCCTGCTGTCTTTTCAAGGTTTATTAATTGTGTTTCCAAGAATATGATCTCGGAAAATGTAACGCATGCGCTGTTGTGTGACTAAGATGCTCCGGTCCAGCTAGACTTTTGTACAAGCAAAAATAATGTATTTGTTGCACGATATCATGCAAAACTGTAATTTATGAAAAATACTAAGATATATCATATAAGTCATATTGCTGCACACACTTGCATGGGCCAAGAGATATCACGGGTGCACCCTGCAACCACGCCTTTACTGATACTCTGGTAGTAAAAGGTGGGATTCGGCAATCGCGGGAACGGTAGCTTTGTGATTTCCAGAATAAGCTTGAGAAGCAAGCTATCAAAATCAGAGTTGCTGTCATCAGTGAAGTACACTATATTCAGCTATAGCGCAAGTAAATTGTGAGACAGGACTAAAAACTACCAAACTTGCTAGAACTCTTGGACTGACTACGTGGTGTTCACCTATGCTATGGCCTGATACTCCCTCACTGACCTCTGGAACGTAGTGTAGGGTGATTCCTGTGGAACAAATATTACCAATATATTCAGCTCGCGTGACCTTTGTGTGCGTAAATATGAATAACTATATGCAGAATCATCTTGGACTCTTTCTTGAAGTACTCTGATATGCATACATGTTAATATATATGTATATATATACATATATACACCTTTGTATATATATATATATATATATATATATATATGTATCTCTCTCTGTCTCTTTATATATATATATATATATATATATATATATATATATATATATATATATATATATATATGCTGTCATAGGCTATAGTCTACCACTAGGCCATTGTTTTTTAATACACCATATAATACTATACATTGATATATATATATATATATATATATATATATATATATATATATATATATATATATGATTTAGACAGAACCAACAAAAACTGCACCGGCATGCTGGTCTCGTATGCAAACATCCTTGTGTAAAGCTTATGACCTCAACACCTCAGCGATATTATCTAACTGCTATAAAAGTTACTTATCCTAGCTTATTAGCAAATTCAGTGTCTGATTATCATATGCTCTTTTTGACACGGTTTATCTTTGGTTTCCTTGCTTTTTCCAACGTGGGCGTTTGGCTCGGACAAGCTTGTTTCTTTAGCTGTTGCATTCACCTTGCAATGATTCTCTTCTGTGCTTCGAAACGTTTACATTCAGCCTGAAATCAGTTCTTCTCTCAGTTTCCTTTGCCTGTTAGTTTTCACGTTCTGGAGCTCGTGAGTCTCAATTTATGCTCGTGTTTATCTGTATTTTGCAGCTGGTAGGTGCAGTGTAAAATAGTTGCATAAAAAAACAATAGCTAATCGCATTGAAGGTTCAGCTCTGCCAAATATAAGGACGGGTTAGAATCACGGAACTCAAAGCACTAGCAGACTTGGAGGATGATACCAGGCAATTGCCAGCTGTGAATCCGCCACAAATGTCGGAAACGTGGTGGCCTTCTCCGACTACAGATTTTACACATCCTATGCACAGTTCGGATCTCTACTTCTGAAGGAAGTGACCAGAATCAGCGTTCCACATCAACTCAATATCCATAAGTTCCTTATTTCCAGATCGCCAAATGCCACCAGTTGGTTACTCGGTCGCTGTCTGCGAACGTTTCAGGCACAATAAAGAAACGGGCACACGCCATGTGCTGCCAGCATCCGGCAGGTCTTGTTCATTCGTTCATCCATCCATTCGTGCATTCATTCATTCATTCACTCACTCATTCACTCACGCATTTATGCATTCGTTACGGCGATAATTTGTTTTCAGCGAAGATAACCGCTACGGTAAAACCGCACTCTCACTGGTTTCGCTGGGTTTGTTTTGGAGTCAATAGAGAGTCTGGCAGCACAGAAATATTGCAGTAGTATTTACAAGTGACAGTGACAAAATTAGGGAGATCTGGCATTTACAGTGGCAGCAAATACGGTCTTCATGAACGTTCGGGATGCGTAACAGCGTTCCAACTGCGGTGGAGATCTGGAGAGCAAGATTTGAAAGCTAGATGATCGCCGATTTGGTCTTGGTAGGCAGATCGTTGACCCATGGCAGAAGAAATGCTCACGTGATGTTTCCGGTTTATTTATTTTCACTACTTTGTTGCGCCTTATCGGCTTCGACGCATGACTAGGTGTCGTTAAGTCAGCAAGTACTATGACAACACTTATTAATGCTATCGCTTGCACTGAGGTTTGAATAAACGCTATCCCTAAGGTTTACAACTGCTTCATGAAGCGCTGACATGGAGCTCTTCAGACATTTGGAACAGCCATTTAATGAGGGCGAGGGAGGGGTCGGCTGCCACTCACTGATGTCCATCAAAGTGGCAGCGATTCAGCCCAGGGCTCTGCACACAAAATAGCTGACATGCCACGTTTGTTTCCCATGGTATGGGTTCCTGACAGGCAGCATATCACACCCGTTTCCTGTCAGGCGTCCCGGCAGCCAGAGGTCGGGTCGGCCAGGGGATCCCACCAGTGGCGCTGAATGCATCCCAAAATAATGCGGCACAAATCGTTCAAAGAGCCCCCACCGGTCAGCGAAGCAAGCCCGCCAGCACAAGAATCGACGGTTTTATGAACTCTTTAAACTCCATGCTGGGCTAGCGTTTTGCAAAGCAACATTAATATTTGACCGTATTGAGTTATAGCATGGTTTTCGCATTAAGGATGACCAGCTGTACGGTTAGGTGCGAAAAATGCAAACCACTAAGCCGCTAACAACAGAATTGAGGCAGAGGATTTGGGTAACTTTCCGCCCTTCACAGCATGTAACGTTTTTAAGTACGAAGTGAGACATATTACTAAACAAACGGCCTAACCATACTAGAGTAAACTTCACTACGAACTTTCAATGGCACACTCCGTGTGAAATTTGTATGAAAAGGTACGAGAATAACACAAATTTGGACACAGAAGCGACAGAAAGGAAAAGAGAGAGAAAAGGTGTAACATGGTATGCGGTCGTGGTAAAACTGTCGTACAGTAGCGTTGCGGTTTTTGCTGACCAACAGCATCGTGCAAAAGACGCCATGAACATTTGAGCGATAAAGATAGGCATGCAGTTGTGCAAGGACGGAGCCAGAAGACAGGTGGAAAAAGTTATGTTGAATGCCACGATTTCGCCGTAACTGTAGTCACCGCAGCCTGTATACCATGTGAACGTTATATGAAATGCGTACGCTTAAAGACATGTAACACAGGTCGGATCAGGTAGCATATAAAAATACACATACAGCATATTTGACAGATGTATCCACGATAGGCACGGTTTTTCAAGAGATGCGCTTTAGTAGGTAAGACAAAAAGCTATCAAGTGTTAGATAATCCAATGAACTCGATGTACCCTTGCGCATAGTACGCGATGCATGAAGCAGCAAGCCTGTATGTGATGTCCTATACAGGGCTTCTCAGTCGATGTAAGCCTTCGCATCCTTCATGAAGGTTTTCAGCAACCTATAAATGCGCTAAGTCGTTGTAGATGCGGTATGTTTTATTATAGCAGTTAGAAAAACCCGTTTGCTCTCAAGCTGAATCGGTGAGTATTAGAGAGACTAGTGACGAGAGGATGTTTCTGTTGACACTCCTGACTGTGTAGTGTGATTCGTCAGTCGGAGTAAACATATCGGCAAAGTCCGATCGACGATAATGACTTTACTTTCATTGGCTGGTTTCCGGTAACTGAAGCAGACTGAAGTATCTGAATCCCATTTGTATGTAACGTACCATTTGAACGAATGAACCAACCCTATATGAAGCGGCATGACATAATTCAACGGAGACCTTAAGCGATGTTCAAGTGAAAATACAATCCGGTATTCCTACACATGCTACTGACAAAAAGAACACAGTGGTGTCTTCATGATTGCTTCGG